TCCGTGTGCACGTGTGGAGAAGCGGCGGTACCAGCGCGGCTGCGGGAGGTACTCCGCCCCTTCCCGGGACGCAGGGCTGTGCTCCACTCTCGCGGCCTCCGTCACCCGCTCAGCTCCCTGCCTGAGGCGAGGAGGCCGGCTTGTGGGGTTGAGTGGCCCGAGCGGAGGGCGCCGAGAGCTGAGGTCGGCGACGACGACGGCGTTGATATCGGTGGTAACAACGGCCTCAGCAGGCGGGGAAGATGAAAGGGTGAGGAAGGGCAGCCGGGCCGGGCCGGGTCGGCGGGGGAGGATTGCGGAGGAGGGGAGAGACTAGGTGAAGAACTGGCGGAGGGAGATTTCTGGGTTTCTCTGCTCACGGAGGGGGCGGAGGCTCGGCTCCGGCTGTTGGCGCGCTGAAGGGCCAACACGGGCGAGACCCCGTCACCCCAGGATTTCGGCCTAGAGCACGAAGTGTGTTGACTGGAGAAGAGCAACTGAGCGTGACCACAGGGGAAAGCTCTTTTGAGGAGCCTGGGGTCTCCTCCCCGGAAACGGAGGGCCGAGACACCCCCGGCCCGCCGCTCCAAGCGGAGTGGTCAGGTTGTCCTCAGTCTAGGCTCCACACCGCGAACCTTGGTGTTGGTCATCTTTCCGTTTTATTCACGCTTGAGAGCGTTGCAGGACCTTCTGGAAGAAGGAGGAATTGGAATAAAAAAGCAGGGAGTATTAAGAGGTAGTGACTCAACTGGATTTGGGTTGGGTCAGACCGAGTGGAGGGGGGGCGGAGAGAGCGTGAGCGCCGGAGACTTGGGGTGCCAAAATGTTTAAGGAAGAAGTGTTGTCGATCAGTAGGTGGAGCTCTTGCTCCGGGAGTTTAGTGTTGCCCCCGTACTGTGGGGGTCCTTGGTCACCATTAAGCTTTCTTCAGGTAATTGGCAGAGTTCGTATTCTTTCATAGTTTTCCTCTTGGATAAAATTAGGGATTATTTTGGTCCGAATATTTCCATTTGGGTAAGCTGTCACCTTACTATTAAATTACATACTGTTACAATATTAATTACATAACACGGTATTTTAAAATATTGGCTGTTTGAGAGCTTTCCTTTACCCTCCTTAGAGGAAGAAATGTAATCTTATCAGTGTTAAAAGCTTTCTGAGATGCCTGAGTTTTTTTCTTTCTTTTCATTAAAGATTCTTTGAAAGTATTATTTTTATTGATGTAATTTTCTAGTAATGCCTATATAAAACTATTTTCAATTTATTTAATCATGCCTTTGTTATTTGATATGTGGATAATTTTCAAATATTCACTAAACTCTTGTAAATGTATCTTTAAAAATAATTTTTAATTTAAATTTTTTATTGTTGACACTGTGCCGATGTCTCCCATCTCCCACCCCCTTTGCCCTCCTCCATCCAGTCACTGCCCCCCTTGCCCTCACTGCAATATTGTCTGTGCCCAAGGGCTATGCATATATGTTCTTAGCTAATCCTTCACCTTCCTTTATCCAGTCCCCTTCCCCTCCCTTCTGACAGCTGTCAGTCTGTTTCATGTATCCATGCCTCTGGTTCTATTTTGTCAGTTTATTTTGTTAATTAGAATCCACTTATTAGTGATATCATATGGCATTTGTCTTTCTCTGATTGGCTTATTTCTGCTTAGCATAACGATCTCCAGGTCCATCTATGCTATTGCAAAGGGTGAGAATTCCTTTTTTACTGCCTGAGTTTTTTCTATTATCGCAAGTCAGTTAAAGAATTGTAACTGTGTTTTGAGTTAAGGAAGCCTTTCCAACTATTCAGCAACCCTTTTGAGGGTGAAATAAAAGTCAGTCTTCTAAGTAATCTCATACTGCTGAAAATATTATCTCGGTGTGTTTGTGTGTTTGAGGTCGCAGAAGTCCAAAAGTGTAATTTGGCTTTAGCTCTGTAATGTGATTCCTTACTCTGATTTTGTTTTAAATATTAGAGATTCATTCTGTTGAATCATATGTCTTAATAATTAAAATTTCGAAATCATGAAGAAATGTTTCCTTTATTTCACATCAGATTCTAAAGAGTTCCAAACAAGATTTCCATTGAGAAATATGAGAAGTGTTCACTACATTTGAATTATGATCTAGGAAGTTTGGCTATTTTATATATGAACAGATGTAATTTGGTGAGTTTTTCTTGAGTATAGGTGCTGGTTTTTTACTCGATTTTGTATTCTCTTGGACATTCAATACTTATTTGTCTTGTTCTGTAATTGTAATAAAAATGAGGCCGAAGAAGAGTTCCCATTGAGACTGTGTGCATGGGTTTATAAAGGAGGGCCTCCAATAAATTATTCTGTATGCTTGGTTCCAAAATCTTTGGTTTAACTCAGTCTCTCTAGGGTAATGTTCTGATAACTATGTTGGCAATAGAAATGAGTCAAACAGTGGTAGTAATCACAGTCTACATAGGGCAATTATCTTTTATTTAAATGGTTATTTTTGTATATCAACCTGATGGAGACAAATCCCCAGAAATGAGTGAAATTTAGGGGAACTGACTAAATTTAGAGGAAATTTTTATTGAGTCTGTACCTTATACCATCAACTATGCCTGAAATGAAGAGTCCTTAAGTCTAGTTCCTATTATTGGGAGCTTAAAATCGTGTTACTAGAGGTAAACTTTTAAGATGATTTCATAGGAATAGTGCCTTTAACTTCACATATGAACTAACTCCCAGGTAAGATGGGACTTTAAATTTTTTTTTTATTTCTGAGTCTTGTATTTAAGAGCCTGAACAAAGGAAGACAGTAGACATTATTTAAACTATCTTAAGGTCCTTGAGTTCAAAGACTTCTATCAACATGCACAATGTGGTTAGTGTTAGAAGACCTGTGAAAATGATTATATGGTTTTCGTATGAATTTTTATTTGCTTAACTTTTAATTGTCTATTGAAGCTAGCTGAACTGTAAGTTGAATAGAAATATCTAAAATTGGGAACAAATGCAGAACTTACACTCTAAATCAGTCTGCTATTTAAATATTTTATACTAGAGGTCCAGTGCACGAAATTCATGCACTGGAGGGGGGGGGTCCCTAAGCCCGGCCTGCGCCCTCTTGCAGTCAAGGTCTGGGAGCCCTCGGGGGATGTCCGACTGCTGAGGAGGTGGGAGAGGCTCCCGCCACTGCCTCTGCACTCACAGGCTGTGAGCCTGGCTTCTGGCTGAGGAGCACTCCCCCTGTGGGAGTGCACGGACCACCAGGGGGCAGCTCCTATGTTGAGCATCTGCCCCCTGGTGGTCAGTGCACATCATAGCGACCAGTTCTGCCGTTCAGTTGATTTGCGTATTAGCCTTTTATATAGGATCATTGCCTATCATTTTAAAACTTTAGTTACTATTTTACCTGCTTTTCTTCCTATTTTACTTAGTTTTTATTATTAGCAGTAGGACATTTCATTATATTGACATGTATTCGTCTGTTCTCCATAATAGATAAATTTGCAGTTAATTACTGCATGTATGTGTTTATTTTTTAAAGAGTCTTTATTAATTTTTAGAGAGAAAGGGAGAAACGTTGTACATTGAATTTGTGGTTGGTAAGCTGATTTTTTTTTAATCTGTTGTTCCAGTTAGGAAAGGTGATATTCAAGCATGAAGGTATGCCATGCACAGCCATGACTGAGATGGCAATGTAATTAATCAATATAATAGAAAATAAAACTGAATCCATTTTTTATCTGTAGTTGAGGTGTAGTAAAAATTAGTTCTAGCGTCGGCCTGCAGACTGAAGGGTCCCAGGTTCGATTCCGGTCAAGGGCATGTACCTTGGTTGCAGGCACATCCCCAGTAGGGAGTGTGCAGGAGGCGGCTGATCGATGTTTCTCTCTCATCGATGTTTCTAACTCTCTATC